CGTTTTCAATCATCTAATATATTTTATATACTGTGTTTAGTTGATTTCCAGTGAAATGCTCTTTAGATTATCTGAATCAACATGTTTTTTTCCCTTGCATTGGAAATAATACTACCATGTGCTTCTCCAATCATCTACATATATTTTACATACTGTCTTTAATTGATTTCCAGTGAAATGCTCTTTAGATTATCTGAATCAACATGGCTTTTTTCCTCGCATTGAGACTGGGATCCTTTTAAATCATGTTTTGAAAATTTTCTTCACTGTTAGGTTTGGTAGGCTGCTGAAGGGGTTGAAAGAAAAGAAATTTGTAGTAAATTTCATTTGAATAAACTAATGCTTACTAACTCAGTGCCCACATGTTCTTCTTTTTGTGATGTTCATGTGTTTTGTCATTTACATAGTGGTTGTTTCTCTTTTTTTAAAAGATTTTAAAAAATAATTATACATTAAGATCTGAGATATGTGTGTAGAACATGCAGGTTTGTTACATAGGTATACACTTGCTATGGTGGTTTGTTGTACCCATCAACCTTAGGTCATCTATCTTAGTTATTTCTCCTAATGCAATCCCTCCCCTAGTCCCCCACCTCTTGACAGGCCCCTGGTGTGTGATGGTCCCCTCCTTGTGTACATGTCTTCTCATTGTTCAACTCTCACTTACAAGTGAGAACACACAGTGTTTGGTTTTCTATTCCTGTGTTACTTTGCTGAGAATGATGGTTTCCAGCTTCATCCATGTCCCTGCAATGGACATGAACTCATTCTTTTTTTATGGCTGCATAGTATTCCATGGTGTATATGTGCCAGATTTTCTTTATCCAGTCCATCATTGTTGGGCATTTGGGTTGTTTCCAAGTCTTTGCTATTGTGAACAGTGCTGCAATAAACATATGTGTGCATGGGTCTTTAGAGCAGAATGATTTATAATCCTTTGGATATATACTCAGTAATGGGCTTGCTGGGTCAAATGGTATTTCTAGTTCTAGATCCTGAGGAATCACCACACTGTCTTCCACAATGGTTGAACTAATTTACACTCTCACCAACAGTGTAAAAGTGTTCCTGTTTCTCCACATCCTCTCCAGCATCTGTTGTTTCCTGACTTTTCAATGACTGCCATTCTAACTGGTGTGAGATGGTATCTCATTGTGGTTTTGATTTGCATTTCTCTAATGACCAGTGATGATGAGCTTTTTTTCATGTTTGTTGGTTTCCAAAAGAAAGATCAAAAGAAGTAAGAATCACAACCAGCTTTAAAATTTTTTACACCATTATATTCACATTATAATATTAAGGCAAAACATACTTATTTCATTGTCTTTTAGGGAGCAGTATTTCTTAAAGTGGGGTCAGGAACTGTGCATCAGAATCACTTGGGATGTTCATCAATATTCGTATTCCTTGGCCCCTTCATTTTGGAAGGTTGTATGGGGTGAAGGAATCTGCATTTTAACACACTTGCCAGATAATTCTACACATTGAAGCTTGAGAACCTCTGCTTTAGGGAAATATTATCTCAAGTCACTTCACAGCAGTGCTGCAATGACATGCATTAAGACTTGGTAGATATCATTGGACATTGGTTTAGTCTATTCCCACACTGCTCTAAAGAAATACTTGAGACTGGATAATTTATAAAGAAAAGAGGTTTAATAGCTCACAGTTCTTCAGGCTATACAGGAAGCATGGTTGGGGAGGCCTCAGGAAATTTACAATCATGGCGGAAAGTGAAGGGGTAGCAGGCACATTTTACATGGCTGGAGCAGGAGAAAGAGAGAGAATGGGAAGTTGCTACACACTTTTGAACAATCAGATGTTCTGAAAACTCATTTGCTATCATAAGCAAGGGGAAATTCTGCTGCCGTGATTCAGTTACCTCCCACCAAGCCTCTCCTCCAACATTGGGAATTACAATTCAACATGAGATTTGGGTGGTGACACAAATCCAAACTGTTATCAGATATTTTGTCTCAGTTGGTGTGTCGTTGGACCTGTTTTGTTCTTAAGAAATTACAAAGTAATCTGGGTGTCTTTTCTTAATAAAATTTACTTCAAAATTATATAGCCTTCTTAAAAAAATAGAGATTCTTTGTCAAGATTCTTTTTTAAACTTGGCATTATTGACTTCATATTAGACAGTAAGCTATTATAAGTTTATTAATTTATGTGTTCCTTTTACCCAGATGAATTGCTTACAGACTAACATTTATGAAAGGTTAGTATTTCTTAAGTTTTAGAAAGCTAAAAAGGGATGGCTGGAAATGGCAAATTTTGCCCCTTTCTGCTGTTGTTAGAATGGTATAACATGACTTACATAACTTAAGCCATTTGTTTTTATTTAGTGCCTATTTTTATACTTTGGTGACATACTGTAAGTAGTTCTTGTGGCTTTTGGGGAGAAATCATGACTCTCTAGCCTCTTGTTCTCTGCTGTTTGGTAGTGTTGAGCCACTTTGCACAGATTACCGGGCTGAGAACAGCGTGTGTTATCATTGTAATAAGGAACCCATGGTTATTGTCTGTGGTGCAGGATGGCAGTGACCACATTCCCATGAGTAAAGAACAAGGAACATAGTCCAACAGGCACACAGCAATGAGTAAATAAGACTGTTTGGAATTAGTCCTGATAGGAAAAAATGGTACTCTTTGGAGCCTAAATGCTCTCAGGACAATCTAAAGTTGTTACTCAGGCTGGAGAGCCTCTCTTAACATCTTTCAATTTCAGTTTGGCAGTGATGGGAAAAACTCCTTTATTATAGTCAATATTGAGTCATTTGTAGGTAATGACTTCCACATATTACTGTTTTGACTTGTTCTTTAATCCCTTAGGTTGAGTCAGAGGTGTTTTTTTTTTTTGGGGGGGGGGGGGGTATAATGTGACAATAATTTGGGTTTGAAACAAAAGCATCTGAAGTATGTTGATCAAATGGTGATTATTAATTCATAAATGCCTTGGTCAGATGTCTAATATGGACTTTATTAGGAGTCTAAATGGCTTTGACATAGATGTCTCTGCATTTTATTTGCACAAGTGGAGAATGAACTGGCCATTCCAAGGAGCCATGTACTAGCCATGACTGGCATCTAAAAGAAGGGGTTCCTCTGCATCACTTCACAGAATTCTTGTAAATATTAAGTGAGATAAAACATCTTTCCTGGATGAAGGAAGGGATCTAGAAGAAAGGTAAAGAGGAGCTCTGTTCCCTGCCTTGCCCCATTTATTTTATCCTTTTCTGTTTATTTCAGCACAAATAAGTTGAGCTTCTCTGTTCTGGGCATTGTACTAGCAATGAGTATGCAGAAAAAAAAATAAGATTTAGCTCTTAATCAAAAGGTTCAGCTTAATTAAGATATAATAAATATTACATACAATTTACCCATTTAATGTGTACAACTCAAAGGTTTTTAATATATTCAGATTTTTCACAATATTTAACTTAGTTCAAGACTTGTGAACATTTTTTACTTCACAATTCCTCAGGTTCAGAATGAAGAAAAATCTCTTTGGTCCCATTCCTAGATCTTCTCCTTCCTTCAGGAAAATAGTACCTACCAGTTATTAAACATCATTTCAGTATTGTGAGCCCAGCACTGTGCCTACGTGTTTTACAAATGTTATCTCATTATGTGCTTTCTATAACCCTGAAAATACATTTTATCCCATCTTATATACATGGCAATAATCCTAAATACCTAGCATTTGTAGAGTATAATTATTATGCCATTTAATATATGTAGAAATTTACTGCTCTAGATATTATTTTCCTTTTCTCCCCTTTTCCTATTAGTTATTAACTGTGTAACTTTTTCTTCATGCTTGTCCTCTAGTTCTTGACTCTTTCTGGGCTTCCTTGTGAAGGAAAGAGAGAGAGGAGCAATTAGGATTTTCAGGAGTCTGATGATGATCACAAAGACTGGCTGATTTACCTTACGCACTTAAAAAAAATAAATATAGGGGAGAGAATACCCTTGCACAAACAGATAAAAGGTGAATGCAAGGCTGCTGAAGGGCTATTTCCAAATAATAGCTATGTCCAACCCTCAGTTCCAATTTAGAGACAAATAAAAATATTTTATTTCTATAAATTTTAGGGGTTTATTTTTTACCTATGATTTGCTTTTCCTTTTCAGCTGATTCATCTAACCCTTTTAGCAGTTAGCTAACTTCTCTATACTATGAAGTAATTCCTGCACAAATATTTCTGTAATAAGCCTGTCCTTTTTTTTTTTTTTTAAATTACTTCTCATCTGAGGATAAACTTGTCCTTTTGTTAAAAAAAAAAGACATTTTTAAATGCCACATGAAAAATGTGCTGAAGTATCAGTGGTAAGGGTAAGGAATATAAACAGACTTCTGTAACTTTGGACAGATATATAGCTGGAAAATCCAAAACGAAAAGTTTTCTCTCAACCCCAGCACACAAAAAATCCAGGTTGGCTAACTTTCTGGAACTGATTTAGATAATTTGTATATTTTCTGGTGAACAATTAACATTGGCTACTGAAGCTAACTTTTCTACTGGTTCTAAACTAAAGGATAGCGTTTTTGCGATGTACATCTTTTAATGCTATGGGAAGAGTGTTGCTAATAAAAGTGCCCAATTAAAAGAAAAACTTTACCAATCCTGATAATTAGTCATAGAATCTGAACTAATTTAAATGAAAGGTCTAAATGAGTAAGGAGTTGAAATGTTTGCTTTTGAACACACACTGCTTTATATTTCAAAAACTAAACAATTTTAATCTCCAACTTCACAGCTCCTTTGACAATTGCTTCTTTAATGTTTTGTTTAATTATAATTTGTTTGATCAGTATTGTTTAATCAGAATTATATTTTTTATTTGCCCTACTAAGTTACTTATATTTTATTTTAATTAATATGTTTTATTTGTCTACTAAGCATCATATACTGTTATGAGTTTGGGATTTTTTTCTTCAGTAGCATGCAAAGAAACTTATATTCTAATGGTTTCATTTTATTTTATTTTCCTAGGAATCAGAGAATAATAAGTTATGTTCCCTATATTCCTTCCGAAATACCTCTACCTCACCACATAAGCCTGACGAAGGGAGTCGGGACCGCGAGATAATGACCAGTGTTACTTTTGGAACCCCAGAACGCCGCAAAGGTAGTCTTGCTGATGTGGTGGACACACTGAAACAGAAGAAGCTTGAGGAAATGACTCGGACTGAACAAGAGGGTATGTGTGGACTTCACTGTTGGGCTTTTTTTTTTTTTTTTTTTTCCTAAAGATTCTAGGCCTTTAAAAAAAAAAGAGTGGGATTTCAAGGGCTGGAGAAGTGCATAATTGGCACCAGCTAGGAAAAAGTTATTCAGAGGTTACCATGGTGATGGCAGATTGTGATCCATTAGGAGTGTTAAACAGATAGCTTCATTTTTCTAAAACTTTATGTATTTTATTTGGTTCTTAAGATAACAAATTAAGGTTTTAAACTTAACATAATCCTTACTCTGGAAAAAGGTAGTAAGGGATTTTTCCTAATTGCAATTTTATTTTTCATTTTTTCTTCTTTATTTCCTTTTGGTGGATAGTATTTCTTTATAAAAATATCAACTGTTTAAAAAATAAAATTAGGGTGGGTGCGGTGGCTCATACCTGTAATCCCAGCATTTTGGGAGGCTGAGGCAGGCAGATCACCTGAGGTCAGGAGTTCAAGACCAGCTTGGCCAACATGAAGAAACCTCGTCTCTACTAAAAATACAAAAATGAGCCTGGCATGCTGGCAGGTGCCTGTAGTCCCAGCTGCTCGGGAGACTGAGGGAGGAGAATCACTTGAACCCAGGAGGTGGAGGTTGTAGTGAGCTGAGATCATGTCACTGCACTCCAGCCTGGGCAACAGAGTCAAACAAACAAACAAACAAAAACAAACAACAAAATTAAAAAGATTTATTTCTCTTTATTTTTATAACTATATTATTTTATTTCCTAACGTTGTAAAATGGAGAGTTGAGGGCTTCAAATATTGTTAAAGCTAAATGCGTAAGAGTGACTTCTTTGTTACATGACATCTCTTGGAACATCCCACATCTACCTTCTCTACTCTGTACAAGAATTCACTCGGGTTCACCTACGTCTCAGAAAACAGAAATAATAATAATAAAAAAGACTCTACAATAATATTTTTAAACAAAATGAATCAAGTCTAAGTGATGGTTATACTATGTTGCACTTTCATTTTTATGTACAGATTTTAGACCTGAAAATACAGAGTAATTAATAGCTCTGGATATATTACTAGCATTGCAAGTTAAATTGAGAGTTTCGTGACATTATAGACAAATTGGGATTTGATATTAGGGAATTTTTTCATGTAACAATTTTATCCTTTTAAGGACTAAAAAGCTTAAAAGATTCCAATTAATTTTTGTAGAAGTCTTTCTAAAATATATCGCATGCTTCCCTGTTTCACTAATCAGATTATATGGCACAAAATGTATATATGTTTTGATGACCCAGGGTCATAATACAGTAGACTAGGAACCTCAGTACCTTTCAAACAATTATGTGGCCCTGGGTCAATTCTTCAATCTATTTAAGCCACAAAATTTAAAATTTGGTAACTAACTTGGCAACTTAAACATTTTGAGAATTAATTATAATAATGAGTGTTTTCAATTAACTGTAAACTATATAAATATTAACTATAAACTCTATAAATTTGACTTATTGTATATATTATATTGTATATAACTGATATATTATAAATGTCAATTATTTTATTGTGCTATAATATAATGATGCCCTTAGAAATCATTGAGATTAGTAGGAGTTTTATGGTTATTTTTCTTTGCAATTATGAAACTTTAGAGTTCTTGTGTCTGCTCGAGATATATACATATGTATGTGTATTTGTATATATGTATATATTTTTTGGTGCATGTGTTGGTTTCTCCTTCAATATCAGGTTGCTGGCTATTATTTCTTGCTTAGTTGTAAATAATTTCTAATTTTCTCCTATTTAGAGATTATAAAATTAGGTAATCAGGACATTCTAGACTGTATTTGAAATATGAACAAGTATATTCTGGAGGTGTTGCTGAGAGATTCTGGGAAATACATATGGTCTTCAGTGCATGAACTACATGCTGACACTTTTGGCTTGTGAGACTTTGTTTTCCGTATTCTTGGCTGTGTTCTGAATAATGGGGATTGCCAGATAATTATATACTGAATAGTGAGATTGCTAGATGACTTTTAATTGTGATCCACCAAAAGATGGTTTTAGTTTTATAAGTAAGTGGTTTTCAAATACTTTGGAGGGTTCTTTAATGTAAAAATAAAGACACTGATTGGTGATGATTTTTTTTTCTGGACTACTGGGGAATTTAAAATAATTTTTTCCTTGCAAATAGTGGTTAATTTTCCGTTCATTCTCTTTGTTACCATATGTTACAGTTGATTTTTGTACGAGAGACACAAAGTGAGATAGTAGTCCTTTAAGAGTTCTTTATTACTGTATTTCTACTAGTAATGAATTTTTTCATATTCTATAGATCTTTTTTTTGCAATATATATGTTTTAGACATCAGAAATTCAGGTATCTTTAGTATATATTAATGTTCATAATCTAAATATATTAAGTGCAAATGAAATGACTGAAAGCATGCTATCAAATTTACCAGTCTCACAAACCTGGAACAGTGAATGTAATGGATGAGGGAAACAAAACTCAAAACGTTTTTGACAAACCAAAATTATGAACTTAAAAATAACCTGTCACGATAAAATTTAATAGATCTTATTATCAAGTTCAGAAGCTGTGACCCAAATCCCAGCTGCACAAGTAATTACTGAAGAAAATTCAAATAACAGCCAGATGAATGATAAAACAAAACAAAACAAACAAACAAAAAAACCTTATGAGCGTTAAGTGACAGAAAATGCAATGGGATCAGCATGATGAATATTGCCACCATATTTCCAGTGCTACTTTATTCAGCATCACTAGAAGTACATTATGATGCATTCAAGAGGTGGTAGTACCACTAAACTCCCTGCTCAATAGAATGTTTCTGAATTATTGTGTTGAGTTCAGAATTACCACACTTTAAGAGGAACTCAAAGGCATTGGGATATTCTCAGAGAACAATTGGAATAATCACAGAGATGAAATTATATAATAAGGAGAACGGTTGAAGGAATAAGTAATACTGATCCCAGAGAAAAGCAAATCAAAGATGATATGATGGTGTCTTTAAAGAGTAAAGTCACTTGGAGGAGGGATTGGGTTTATACTGTCTAGCTTCCTGGGGATAGAATACAGATCAGTGAAAAGAAGTTAAGAGGAACCTGATTATGGTTGATAAGACCAACTAGCTAACAGTTGTAGCTGTCTATATGAAATATTCTTCTTTGGAAGACAGTAACTTGTCTATCCCTGGAGATATGCGGCAATCTCTATTGTCATCTTAATAGAGGTGTCGTAGAGGACAGAAGTTTGATCTTTTTTTTCAACACCAATATTATGAATTTTTATGAACATTCTTATAAAATATTCTACAGTTTATGGTATATCTTTTTTACAGCATTTTTCAAGGACTACATAGTATTGTGATTATTTTTCTACATATTCTTCTGTGAAATGCATTGTATTAAAACTCAAGGATTCTTAATTTTTCTTTCCATGAATCCCTTTGATAGTCTAGTAAAGCCCACAGATCTTTTCTTAAAATTATTTTAAATCCGTAAGGTAAAATATAGAGATTACATATACAATGAATTATATTAAACAGTAAATCATTTAAAACATTTGTGATATGGTAGAATATGCTATTCTACTAATGCATTAAAAACAAGATCTTATAGAGGGCCTAACAGTATAATAATTTTTAAGCAGTGATAAACATAAAAGATATTTCACGATACCTCCAAGTATAATGTTATATAAAAATATCAATTGTGTTACTATTGGTAACAATGTAATAGGAACTACAAATACAGTATGGTTTGTTACTTGCACCTATAATTTAAGGAAATGCAAATTTTCAATACAGGTTAGTGAAAAATAATTTGTCCATAAAAGTTTAGAGATCCGCTGAATTCTATTTATGTAACCAGTTAAGAACTATGTTAGATGATGTGATACATCCATAATGAATAAAACAATGGTCTCTAACTTTTAATAATTGATATTCTAGTAAGAGATATAAGGCATATAAAATGAACTCTAATTCAGTGTCTAGTATATGATAAATTCCATAGAGCTATAAAGATATAATGTTATGGGAATTTACTAGATAGAAAAATTACCTCTTCTTGGAAGCCATTGGAAGATTCTATAGGGAAATGGGTCTTAGATGGAGAATGAAAGGATTTATATAGACAGAAATTGAGAGGAGAGACATTTCAGGCAGAAAGAATAGGCAGAGAACATTAAAACAGCCAACAGTTCAGGATCTAAACTTAAAGAAAAGATGTATATGGGATATAAGACTGAAAAAGTAGGTTGTTTTCAGATCATGGAGACCCTTTCACTCTTGTCTAAGGAGTTTGAACTTTATATTGAAGGTGATGGAGGAACCACTAACTGTTTTTTAGCACAGTAAGGTGATGAATTAGAGCTTTCCTTCAGGAAAGTTAATCCGGCCACACTGTTTAGGATGAATGGGAACAGGGAGAGATGTTAAGGAAATTGTTTCAGGCTAGAGATAATGAGGGTCTGCTGAACTAAGGCATCAGAAATGAGGAAGGAAGGGGGATGCATATGGAAAAGGTATGAGATAGAATTGTTAAGACTTGATGTTTAAGGGTAGAGACCAAGACAGAGGAATGGTTCAACTAGTGCTCAGAGATTTTAAACTCAGGACAAACAGGAATATGGTAATACAATTTTTAAAAAGTGGAGGAACATGTTTTGGTCATGGGAACAATGAGAAGTTTTTTATTTTGAGTTTGGTATCTTGGGTTTGAATCCTAATTTTGATTATCTACTTAGAGCAATAGTATAGAATGGCATAATGGGAGAACAGAAGTAATTATAGACAGGATCATTAAAAAGTTTAGGATAGATTTTTGATTCTCAAATAATTATATACTAGGTCTAAGAAGATATAACAGCTCCACCAATATTTCCATGGCATTGATCCTTTAAAGTTCCAGGTCCATCTCCTCATTTGGGACATATTTTCTCATCGGACACCTAAAAGCTTTCAAATGCATTACCCACCTCTCCCTCACAT